CCCTAATTACAATTTGGCGGTCCCCGCTGAGCCAGCCAAAGTCATTCCATTTATGGCCCTCTTCCAAATTAACCCCAAAAGGTTTGTAGAGGATTTTTTGCCCATATATGGGGTACCAGCATCCCCCGTACGTTGTACGAAGTAGACAAAAACAAGCCTACATGGGAAATTTAGGATACCTTGTGTATACAGCACAAGGTTCTGCTCACTAGAGATGAGCGAATCGAAGTAGGCGAAGTGGAATTCGTTTTTGAATATTAGGAAAATAGCCTACTTCGGACGGGCGAATCGAAATTTTTCCTAAAATGGCGGCGGACATGTGCGGCGACGGAGCGGGAATGTCTGGGAAGGCGCGCAGACAAGGCCGCTGACCCCTAATGCATTCCTTAATGACATGTGATCGCATTAGCCAATCAGCAGCCAGCCAGCCAGCACTGTGTAATGGTCGAGCTATAAATGGCGGCCATTTTAGAATTCTTCATTTGCCTCCAGTCATTCAAAGTTAGGGCCACAGAATATGTTACTCGGGACAGACACAGAATTGTTACTGAGGGCCACAGAATTGTTACTTAGGGCCACAGAAACGTTACTCAGGGCCACAGAATTGTTACTGAGGGCCACAGAATTGTTACTTAGGGCCACAGAATTGTTACTTAGGGCCACAGAATTGTTACTCCAGGGCACAGAATTGTTACTCGTGGACACAGAATTGTTACTGAGGGCCACAGAAACGTTACTCAGGGGACACAGAATTGTTACTGAGGGCCACAGAATTGTTACTGAGGGCCACAGAACTGTTACTTAGGGCCACAGAATTGTTACTCAGGGACCACAGAATTGTTACTGAGGGACACAGAATTGTTACTTGAGGCCACAGAACCGTTACTTAGGGCCACAGAATTGTTACTGAGGGACAGAACACAGAATTGTTACTTGAGGGCCACAGAATTGTTACTGAGGGCCACAGAATTGTTACTTTGGGCACCACAGCCATTGTTACTGAGGCCCACAGAATTGTTACTCAGGGAGGGACACAGAATTGTTACTCAGGGACACAGAATTGTTACTGAGGGCCACAGAACTGTTACTTAGGGCACAGACAGAAAATTGTTACTCAGGGACAGGACACAGAATTGTTACTCAGGGACACAGAATTGTTACTGAGGGCCACAGAATTGTTACTTAGGGCCACAGAATTGTTACTCAGGGACAGACACAGAATTGTTACTCAGGGACACAGAATTGTTACTGAGGGCCACAGAATTGTTACTTAGTGGGACACAGAATTGTTACTCAGGGACACAGAATTGTTTACTGAGGGACACAGAACCGTTACTTACAGAACTGTTTACTCAGGGGACACAGAATTGTTACTGAGGGACACAGAATTGTTACTGAGGGCCACAGAATTGTTACTCAGGGCACAGAAAAGTTACACAGAATGTTTACTGAGGGCCACAGAATTGTTACTCGAGGGGACACAGAATTGTTACTCTGAGGGACACAGAATTGTTACTCAGGAGGGACACAGAATTGTTACTTAGGGCCACAGAATTGTTACTCAGGGACACAGAATTGTTACTCAGGGACACAGAATTGTTACTGAGGGCCACAGAACTGTTACTTAGGGACCACAGAACTTGTTACTAGGGACATTGTTACTCAGGGACACAGAATTGTTACTGAGGGACACAGAACCTGTTACTTAGGGCCACAGAATTGTTACTCAGGGACACAGAATTGTTACTGAGGGACACAGAATTGTTACTCAGGGACACAGAATTGTTACTCAGGGCCACAGAATTGTTACTGAGGGGACACAGAACTTGTTACTTAGGGCAACACAGAATTGTTACTCAGGGACACAGAATTGTTACTGAGGGCCACAGAACCGTTACTTAGGGCCACAGAATTGTTACTCAGACCAGACACAGAATTGTTACTGAGGGGGCACAGAAGTTACTGAGGGCCACAGAACCGTTACTTAGGGCCACAGAAACGTTACTTCAGGGGACACAGAATTGTTACTGAGGGACACAGAATTGTTACTCAGGGCCACAGAATTGTTACTCAGGGACCACAGAATTGTTACTGAGTACACAGAATTGTTACTCAGGGACAGACACAGAATTGTTACTGAGGGCCACAGAATTGTTACTGAGGGCCACAGAACCGTTACTTAGGGCCACAGAAACGTTACTCAGGGACACAGAATTGTTACTGAGGGCCACAGAATTGTTACTTAGGGCCACAGAATTGTTACTCAGGGACAGACACAGAATTGTTACTGAGGGACACAGAATTGTTACTGATGGGCCACAGAATTGTTACTTAGGGCCACAGAAACGTTACTTAGGGCCACAGAATTGTTACTCAGGGGACAGACACAGAATTGTTACTGAGGGCCACAGAATTGTTACTGAGGGCCACAGAATTGTTACTGAGGGCCACAGAACCGTTACTAGGGCCACAGAAACGTTACTCAGGGACACAGAATTGTTACTGAGGGACACAGAATTGTTACTCAGGGCCACAGAATTGTTACTCAGGGACAGACACAGAATTGTTACTCAGGGACAGACACAGAATTGTTACTCAGGGACACAGAATTGTTACTCAGGGACACAGAATCGTTGAATTAAAGAGTATGTCAGACAACATGCAGAGGATGGCAGAGGAGGCAATGTTTTAGGAGCGAGCAGACGTGGCAGCAGAGGAAGGGGTCGAGGCAGCACTAGTCGCAGCCAGAGGCCAGTGCTCCCGGTGTCATCCAGCGGTCGTGTCTCCACCGACAACCCTGCCGTCATCGATTGGTTGGCTCGGTCGTCTTCCTCTTCCCAGGTCACCTCTGACACCTACAGCCAACGGTCGGTGGGTACGTCAGACACAACCGTTAGTTGGCATGGCCCGGGAGCAAGCCCACTGAAATCACGTGTCCTCTACCTGCCCCTGTCCTTTGCTGTTCCCTCACCAAGCGAAGTATCGCATGCTGTGGGCTCAGCCCCACTGTACAGTGAGGAAGAGCTAACAGAGGGCGGTCAGGAACGGGGGGGAGACATCCGCCTTTCAGCAGCCAGGCGAAGAAGTACTGGCGAGGAGAGTGGCTCGGTAGCCGGTCTAGAGACAGGTCTGTCTCCTGACCCAGACGCAGCCGAGGGGGCTAGTAGTGAGGCGGAGACCCTACTTGATGATGAGGAGGTTGATCGCACTTGGCAGCCTCGTCGTCATCAGGCAATTTCTTCCGCATCATCAGGAGAAGAGGGTGCCAGCTTGGCAGCGAGCAAAACAGTCGGTGGGTTGCCCAGGAGGCAGCAGGGTCGCAGCAGTGTCAGTGGAGGAACCAAACGGCCACGGAGTAGAGCACCAGCTCCACTGCAGCCTACCACCACGGCCAGTAGTGGTGCCGGTGCGCACGGAGGAAGTAGCAGTCAGCCAGTGAGGAGTAGCGGGGGCAAAGTTTCCTACTCGGTGGTGTGGCAATTTTTCGTCAAGCCGCCCGAGGAAGTAAACGTAGCCGTATGTCGACTATGTGGCCAGAAAGTCAAGCGTGGCCAGGGGGCCCATGTTGGGACTACAGCGTTGCGTCAGCATATGCAGCGTCGCCATTTGGTGGCCTGGGAAAACCGTGATAAAGATACGGCGGTTCTGCCTGCCCCAGCCCCCGCTCCATCACCCGCTCCGTTACTTGCTCCGTCACCCGACGTCAATCGCCCTCTATCAGCCAGTCAAGGCTCCAACACCTCTGCTGAGGGGAGTTGTCGCTCGTTGGCATCTTCCGCTCGTTCAGATGCTCCTTCTCCTGCTACTCCTCTTCTCGGATTCCGTCAGCAGTCTTTCTTGGAATCCGTTTCCAAGAGACAACAGTTTGCGAGCACGCACCCGACGGTGCAAAAGCTGAACGTCCTCCTGTCCAAGTTGCTGGTGCTGCAGTCCCTCCCTTTCCAAGTGGTGGACTCAGCACCTTTCCGAGAAATGATGGCTTGTGCCGCGCCGCGGTGGAGAGTGCCAAGCCGTCATTTCTTCGCCAAAAAGGCAGTGCCAGCCCTGCATTCACATGTAGAAGAGATGGTGGGCCAGTCTTTGAGCATGTCGGTCTCTGCCAAAGTGCACGGCAGCGCCGACGTGTGGAGCTGTAACTACGGTCAGGGACAGTACATGTCATTTACGGCCCACTGGGTGAACGTGGTGCCGGCACAGCCGCACCAGCAACTTGGACAGGTCACGACGCTTTTGCCTCCACGTTTGCACGTCCTTGGTCCAGCAAACATGTCCGCCTCTACCACCCTCTTCTTCCGCCGTGTCCTCAGCCGCCACCCCCGTGCCAAGTCCCCCATTACCCGACCGGCATATCACATGTGCAGGGCGCAACGGTGTCACGCTGTGCTGCACCTGGTATGCCTTGGCGAACGTAGTCACACAGGGGAGGAACTTCTGAGTGTAATGAACAGAGAAATCGACAGATGGCTGTCTCCGCGCAAACTGAAAATCGGAACCATGTTGACCGACAACGGAAAGAACATGGTGTCTGCTCTGCGTCAAGGAAGGTTGTGCCATGCGCCATGCATGGCTCACGTGTTCAATCTGGTTGTCAAGCGGTTCCTAAAATCCACCATCCCACTGCAAGACATCCTTAAAATGTCACGTAAACTTTGCATGCATTTCAGCCATTCCTACACCGCAAAGCACACCCTCCTTGAGCTGCAGCGGCAGAACGGAATTCCACAGCATCGCCTGATCTGCGACGTTGCAACAAGGTGGAATTCAACCCTACACATGTTAGACCGCCTTTACGAGCAGCGAAAGGCCATCACCGATTTCCTGATGTTACAAGCGGATAAAGGTACTCCCCTGTGTAACTTCGATGTCAGCCATTGGCAGCTCATGCGTGACACCTGCCGCTTGCTCAGGCCCTTTGAGGAGGCCACGCTATTCGTGAGTCGGCAGGACTATGGGATGAACGACGTCATTCCTCTGTTGCACGTCCTGGAACAAATGCTGTTAACAATGGCTGGTCAGGGTGCGGTAGACGTGGCGCACAGATCTCAACGCCACATGACCCCTGTGGGGGCAGGACAGGAAGAAGAGGAGGAGGTAGAGGAGGACATTTGTGCTCAGGAATTATTGAGTGAAATGGGTGGTTTTTCCACTCAGCGGACAGGAGTGGAGGAGCAGGAGCATCTGGTAGAGGAGGAGGAGGAGGAGGAGACAGAGGACCCAGACGCACCGTGGCAGTATGCTGTGGAGATGGAGGCAGGGAGTCCCTCGCATTCCTTGGCACAAATGGCCCATAGCATGCTCGGTTGCTTGCGTAGCGACAGCCGAATAATAACCATCAGACAGAGGGATGACTTTTGGCCTGTCCACCTTGTTGGACCCTCGCTACCGTTCAAAAATGGTGGCCTTTTTCACACCTGCTGAGAGGGAGGCCAAAATAACGTACTATAAAAACCACCTATGTAGTCAGTTGGTCTCTGCCTTTCTGCGCCAACGTCCATCCTCAGACACTGTGGGCCCTGTGCGCTCGCGTTCCGCTGCCATGGCAGCAGGGGAGGGGTGGGGTGGTAGGAGCAGTGGCAGCTCCACCAGCAGCGGCTGCCTCAGTCTGCAGTCGATGATGAGTAGCTTTCTTCACCAGCGCAGTGAGGAAACTACTAACCAGCCGCAGCAGCAGCAGCAGCAGGTGGACCTGGAGACCTGGAGCAGGAGCTCAAACAACAGGCTTGGGCCTACTTGGACAGCACCCTGCCAACCGAGGTAGACAATCCCCTTGACTACTGGGCAACGAAACTTGACCTTTGGCCCCAACTAGCTGAATTTGCCCTTGAAAGGCTGTCATGCCCGGCCAGTAGCGTGGCATCGGAGCGCGTGTTTAGTGCGGCAGGAGGTATTGTAACTCCGCGGAGGACACGACTGTCCACCCAAAGTGTGGAGAGACTCACGTTTGTGAAAATGAATCAGGCGTGGATTAGTCTGGATTTCAAACCACCAGTTCCTGACACAACTGACTAAATCCGCCATGAATCATGCCCCAAACATGTGCCACTTTCACGTCTCCCGCACACTGCTGCTGGGTTCCATTTTGTCATAGGTGCTGGCAGATTACGGGCCTCCACATTGCTGCGGCCAGGCCCCTAATCTGCCATGGGTCCCTGTACGGCCTCCCATTGCTGCTGTTTCCATTGTCCACACACTCTCATGCCATGTGCCACTTTCAGGTCTCCTCACACTGCCTGCTGGTTTCCATTTTGTCATAGGTTGCTGGCAGATTACAGGCCTCCCATAGCTGCTGCCAGGCCCCAAATCTGCCATGGGCCCCCGTAACCGCCTCCTCACGCTGCTGCTGGGTCCACAGTGTGCATGGGTCCCTGTACGGCCTCCCATTGCTGCTGTCTCCATCACCACACTCTGCCATGTGCCACTTTCAGGTCTCCTCACACTCCTGCTGGTTTCCATTTTGTCATAGGTTGCTGGCAGATTACGGGCCTCCCATAGCTGCTGCCAGGCCCCTAATCTGCCATGGGCCCCCGTACCGCCTACCGCCTCCTCACGCTGCTGCTGGGTCCACAGTGTCTCATGGGTCCCTGTACGCCTCCCATTGCTGCTGCTCGCCCACTCTGCCATGTGCCACTTTCAGGTCTCCTCACACTGCTGGTGTTTCCATTTTGTCATAGGTTGCTGGCAGATTACAGGCCTCCCATAGGTGCTGCCAGGCCCCTAATCTGCCATGGGCCCCCGGACCGCCTCCTCACGCTGCTGCCTGGGTCCACAGTGTGTCATGGGTCCCTGTACCGCCTCCCATTGCTGCTGTCTCCATCACCACACTCTGCCATGTGCCACTTTCAGGTCTCCTCACACTGCTGCTGGTTTCCATTTTGTCATAGGTGCTGGCAGATTACAGGCCTCCCATAGGTGCTGCCAGGCCCCAAATCTGCCATGGGCCCCCGTACCGCCTGGTCACGCTGCTGCTGGGTCCACAGTGTGTCATGGGTCCCTGTACCGCCTCCCATTGCTGCTGTCCATCACCACACTCTGCCATGTGCCACTTTCAGGTCTCCTCACACTCCTGCTGGGTTTCCATTTTGTCATAGGGTGCTGGCAGATTACAGGCCTCCCATAGCTGCTGCCAGGCCCCAAATCTGCCATGGGCCCCCGTACCGCCTGGTCACGCTGCTGCTGGGTCCACAGTGTGTCATGGGTCCCTGTACGGCCTCCCATTGCTGCTGTTTCCATGCCCACTCTGCCATGTGCCACTTTCAGGTCTCCTCACACTCCTGCTGGTTCCATTTTGTCATAGGTTGCTGGCAGATTACAGGCCTCCCATTAGGTGCTGCCAGGCCCCAAATCTGCCATGGGCCCCCCGTACCGCCTGGTCACGCTGCTGCTGGGCCCACAGTGTGACATGGGTCCCTGTACGGCCTCCCATGCTGCTCCCACTCTGCCATGTGCCACTTTCAGGTCTCCTCACACTCCTGCTGGTTTCCATTTTGTCATAGGTTGCTGGCAGATTACAGGCCTCCCATAGGTGCTGCCAGGCCCCAAATCTGCCATGGGCCCCCACCGGACCGCTTGTCACGCTCACGCTGCTGCTGGGTCCACAGTGTGTCATGGGTCCCTGTACGGCTCCCATTGCTGCTGTTTCCATCACCACACTCTGCCATGTGCCACTTTCAGGTCTCCTCACACTCCTGCTGGTTTCCATTTTGTCATAGGTTGCTGGCAGATTACAGGCCTCCCATAGGTGCTGCCAGGCCCCAAATCTGCCATGGGCCCCCGTACCGCCTCGTCACGCTGCTGCTGGGTCCACAGTGTGTCATGGGTCCCTGTACCGCCTCCCATGCTCCCACTCTGCCATGTGCCACTTTCAGGTCTCCTCACACTCCTGCTGGTTTTCCATTTTGTCATAGGTTGCTGGCAGATTACAGGCCTCCCATAGGTGCTGCCAGGCCCCAAATCTGCCATGGGCCCCCCGGACCGCCTGGTCACGCTGCTGCTGGGTCCACAGTGTGACATGGGTCCCTGTACCGCCTCCCATTGCTCCCACTCTGCCATGTGCCACTTTCAGGTCTCCTCACACTCCTGCTGGTTTCCATTTTGTCATAGGTTGCTGGCAGATTACAGGCCCTCCCATAGGTGCTGCCAGGCCCCAAATCTGCCATGGGCCCCCGTACCGCCACCTGGTCACGCTGCTGCTGGGTCCCACAGTGTGTCATGGGTCCCTGTACCGCCTCCCATTGCTGTTTCCCCACTCTGCCATGTGCCACTTTCAGGTCTCCTCACACTCCTGCTGGTTTCCATTTTGTCATAGGTTGCTGGCAGATTACAGGCCTCCCATAGGTGCGCCAGGCCCCAAATCTGCCATGGGGCCCCCGGACCGCCTGGTCCTCACGCTGCTGCTGGGTCCACAGTGTGTCATGGGTCCCTGTACGGCCTCCCTCCATTGCTCCTCCCACTCTGCCATGTGCCACTTTCAGGTCTCCTCACACTCCTGCTGGTTTCCATTTTGTCATAGGTTGCTGGCAGATTACAGGCCTCCCATAGGTGCTGCCAGGCCCCAAATCTGCCATGGGCCCCCGTACCGCCTGGTCACGCTGCTGCTGGGTCCACAGTGTGTCATGGGTCCCTGTACCGCCTCCCATTGCTGCTGTTTTCCATCACCACACTCTGCCATGTGCCACTTTCAGGTCTCCTCACACTCCTGCTGGTTTCCATTTTGTCATAGGTTGCTGGCAGATTACAGGCCTCCCATAGGTGCTGCCAGGCCCCAAATCTGCCATGGGCCCCCGGACCGCCTGGTCACGCTGCTGCTGGGTCCACAGTGTGTCATGGGTCCCTGTACCGCCTCCATTTGCTCCTCCACACTCTGCCATGTGCCACTTTCAGGTCTCCTCACACTCCTGCTGGGTTTCCATTTTGTCATAGGTTGCTGGCAGATTACAGGCCTCCCATAGGTGCTGCCAGGCCCCAAATCTGCCATGGGCCCCCGGTACCGCCTCGTCACGCTGCTGCTGGGTCCACAGTGTGTCATGGGTCCCTGTACGCCTCCCATTGCTCCCACTCTGCCATGTGCCACTTTCAGGTCTCCTCACACTCCTGCTGGTTTCCATTTTGTCATAGGTTGCTGGCAGATTACAGGCCTCCCATAGGTGCTGCCAGGCCCCAAATCTGCCATGGGCCCCTGTACCGCCTGGTCTGCGCTGCTGCTGGGTCCACAGTGTGTCATGGGTCCCTGTACCGCCTCCCATTGCTGCCCACTCTGCTCCATGTGCCACTCTGCCATTTCAGGTCTCCTCACACTCCTGCTGGTTTCCATTTTGTCATAGGTTGCTGGCAGATTACAGGCCTCCCATAGGTGCTGCCAGGCCCCAAATCTGCCATGGGCCCCCGGACCGCCTCGTCACGCTGCTGCTGGGTCCACAGTGTGTCATGGGTCCCTGTACGGCCTCCCATTGCTGCTGTTTCCATCACCACACTCTGCCATGTGCCACTTTCAGGTCTCCTCACACTCCTGCTGGTTTCCATTTTGTCATAGGTTGCTGGCAGATTACAGGCCTCCCATAGGTGCTGCCAGGCCCCAAATCTGCCATGGGCCCCCGTACCGCCTGGTCACGCTGCTGCTGGGTCCACAGTGTGTCATGGGTCCCTGTACCGCCTCCCATTGCTCCCACTCTGCCATGTGCCACTTTCAGGTCTCCTCACACTCCTGCTGGTGGTTTCCATTTTGTCATAGGGTGCTGTATGGCCTCCCATTGCTGCTGCCTCCACCGCCACACTGTGGCTCCACACTCTGGTTTTGGCCCCGTGACTGGCCAAATGAGTGAAGTGTGCGGTGATTCTAAGATCGACGGCACTCATCTGCATGTCATACTGACTGACAGTATTATTTCTCTTCCCCAGCAGACTCCAAGGGCATTTAAATTAAAGGTACAGTGTTCTGCACTAATATTAAGTCTCTCTGAAGCCTAGAAACACCCTTTTTTAAGTTAAATTCACAGCGAATATATTCGACTCGAATCAAATATTTTCCACGAATTCGCCGAATCAGTCGAATCGAATTTTTGAATACTTCGCTCATCTCTACTTACTACCTACCAACCTTCTTCCATGTACCTGCATGATCTGTCTACTTGGGTTCAAGCCTACAGTCCAGGGTGATCTCTCTCATCTTCTGTTTATTGTTCTACAAGCCCTAACAACGGAGGTGTGTTGACTCCCCAAAATGCATTCAACTTTATTGCAGAACAAAATCTTTTGTGAGCTGTACAGCGTGGAGCTCCCATCTTTTCAATTTTTTAGGACCAGGAGAAAGAGGCTGGGTCAGGGCACAAACAGAGGTCAGGAACAACCAAGTGGCTTGGTACCAAGAAACAGGTGCAGGAAACAAGCCAAAGTCAGTAACAGTCGGGCAAACAAAGTCCAAGGCAGGCCGGAGTCCAGAAGGCAGGCCGAGGTCACAGTGAGGAGGCAGAAGGCCAGAGGCAGGTTGGTAGACATGCTGGTTCATACACAGAACGATGGAATCCAGGGCCATCTAAATAGCATCATGGGCCCCTGGCTAAAGTAATGCACTGGACCTCTACCAGGGAGATGGTGACCAGCGGCATGAAAAGCACGCTGCGGCAATTAGTGGGTGTGGCTACACTATGCTTCATATTGAGTGTGACTTTTTAGTCTGATTAGAAATTTTAGTCTGATTCTTTACAATTTTTTTCTTTTTTTTTCCTACAAATTTTTTAAATAATTTTATTTTTGTATTTTTTTTTCACAACTCTGTTGGGGAAGTGTTTGGTGAGATATCCGGGGTCTAAACAGACCCCTGAAGTCTCACTTTTGAGACAGAGAAAGGAACTGATAAAACACATTCCTCATTTCCTTTCTGCAGCCTCAGCTGCACTACAGACAGAGGCTCCTGTTCATTCTTAAACTGAAGCACAGTAAGTGATCAGTGCTGATCACTCACTGTGTTCATTTAGAAAAAGAAGGGGGTGTCAAATGGCATATTTGCTGGCCCTTCTCCTCCTCTCATTTTCCACCCTGAAGACCACAACAGCTCTTCGTCCTTCTCATGATCACTCTCTGTATAGAGCAGGGGAAACTCGGGCACTGCCCGAGGGCCCGGGGTCAGTAGGGGGCCCCATGAGATGCCCCTGGTACCTTTTTCATAGGCTTTTTTGAGTTTGGGCACGGACACAGGGGCCCCATGATCCCCTATTGCCCGGGGGCCCCATGAGTTGTCAGTCCGCCCCTGGTGTAGAGCTTAAATTGTATGTAAACTTCCTACCAATATACTTGTATTGCTTTCCTCTTTAAATAATACTTCCGCCTAGCAGTACTTGGATTGTTGGTTCAAATCCCAGCCACGGCAGCACCTGCCTGGAGTTTGCATGGGCTCCCTGTGCCTGTGTGGGTTTCAAATGCGATATCTCCTGCGCTCCGGGACCCAGACCGGTGGTGAGTAGATGAAATCAAACTCCAAACAAGGAACCACCGGAATAGACAAGGTCGTGCAGCTCCACACCAAGGCTGGGGAAGCCCGAACAGAACTGTGAAGAAGAACAAACAAAAAGAAGCGCACCAACCTTGCGCATTACCTCAGTAACCAAAATTTATTTAGTAAAAGAATGGTACTCACAAACAGCGAATAAAAACAGGCATGTAAGTCCTCAAAGGGACTTTAAAGGCAAGATGCCAATGCGAATCCCATCATGGAGGAAGCCACTCAGTACAGCTGACGCGTTTCGAAGGTCATGCCTTCTTCCTCAGAGCTGACTGGACTGAGAGTGTGTGTTCCCATTTATGCCTCCAGACTGAAACAAGGACCTCCCCAATGGGTTGGGCTGTCCTGGGCAGGGAGGAGGGGCCCGGGTGTCAACAAAGTGCAATAACTAGTCATCAGGGATTACATAGAACCATATAAATAGTAGACGTAAAATATAAGATAGAAATACGATGTATATACCGATGTGGAATCAAATAATGCTAAATAATTCATTAACTAGTTGCCGACCGCAGATAGCCGAATGACGGCTGCACTGCACTGCGGCCGGCCAGTTCTGGTGGACGTCATATGACGGCCTCCCAGAACGCGCTCTCCTGCGCGCCCCAGGGGGCGCGCACCCGGCGATCTCCGTGATCACTGTGTCCTACGGACACAGCTGATCACGTGATGTGGTAAAAGGCCAATTACAGCGGCCTTTTACCACGTGATCAGCGGTGTCCAATGACACGCTGATCACAGGGAAATGACAGTGCCGGTTCTCGGCTGCACTTTCCTCACGCTGTCAGATCGTGAGGAAAGTACTGCTGAGAACCGGCAGTTGTCAGAGCGGGGATCGGCACCGATCAGTGCCTGATTATCAGTGAGCAGTGCCACCCGCAAGTTCTGCCCATCTGTGCCCAGCAGTGCGCCCACTAGCTCCGCCCACCTGTGCCCAGCAGTGATCACCCACCTGTGCCCAGCAGTGCACCCACCTGTGCCCACCCACCTGTGCCCACCCACCAGTGCACCAGTGCCCACCCCACCCACCAGTGCAGCCCACCAGTGCTGCCAGTGCAGTCAGTGCCACCAGTCAGTGCCCAGGGGTTGTGCCAGTCAGTGCCGCCAGTCAGTGCCCAGCAGTGATGCCAGTCAGTGCCGTCTATCAGTACCCATCATCAGTGTCACCTATCAGTGCCGCCTATCAGTGCTGCATATTAGTGCCGCCTATCCGTGACACCTCATTAGTGCTGTCTATCAGTGCCGCCTATCCGTGACACCTCATTAGTACTGCCTATCAGTGCCCTTTAGTGCCGCCTATCATCAGTATCGCCCATCAGTGCTGCCTCATCAACGCACATCAGTGAAGGAGAAAAAATACCTGTTTGAAAAATTTTATAATAGAAACAAAGAAACGTTTTGTTTTTTTTTTTTCAAATTTTTTGCATTTTCTTTATTTATAGCGCAAAAAGTAAAGCGCCCAGCGGCGATTAAATACCACCAAAAGAAAGCTCTATTTGTGAGAAAAAAATGATCAAAATTTCATATGGGTACAATGTTGCATGACCGCGCAATTGTCAATCAAAGTGCGGCAGCGCTGAAAGCTGAAAACTGGCCTGGTAAATAAGGGGGTATAAGTGCCTGGTAGGCGAGGGGTTAATAGATTCAGCTTGTAAATGCATGAATAGGAGTTAAGAAGTTTAAAAAATGAATCAATTAATTAAAAATTATTATTATTATTATTATTATCATTGCACTGACGGTCAAAAATGCATAAAATATATATAGAAAAAGAGGAACTCGCACAATTAAATGAACCATTCATGGCCAATGACTAGAGATGAGCGAAGAAATGAAAAATTCGATTCGACTGAGATTCGAGTCGAATAAATTCGCTGTGAATTTAACTTAAAAAAGGGTGTTTCTAGGCTTCAGAGAGACTTAATATTAGTGCAGAACACTGTCTACCTTTAATTAAATGCCCTTGGAGTCTGCTGGGGAAGAGAAATAATACTGTCAGTCAGTATGACATGCAGATGAGTGCCGTCGTCGATCTTAGAATCACTGCACACTTCACTCCTTTGGCCAGTCACGGGGCCCAAAACCAGTGTTTGGAGCCACAGTGTGGCGGTGGATGGCAGCAGCAATGGGAGGGCCATACAGCAACCTATGACAAAATGGAAACCAGCAGGAGCGTGAGGAGACCTGAAAGTGGCACATGGCAGAGTGGGAGCAATGGGAGGCGGTACAGGGACCCAGGTCACACTATGGGCCCAGCAGCAGCGTGACCAGGCGACAACCGCAGGGGTGTGAGGGGAAATTTTAAAGTGGCACAATG